CCCCACCCCCCTCTAAGGAAGCGTAAACAACGCGCATTTAAACTGTAAAGAAATGTTTACTTCATCACTTTTTCCCATAATTTCATTACTTTTCCACTAAATAACTAGTTTAAGTTGAATTTTAAGTGATGCCGAATTTGGGCTTCGCTTAATTATAAAAAGGAGTTCCTTTTGAACCAGGCATAATTATCCCAGTTGCATTCACTGAACTGTGCTTTGAAATAACTTAAAACAAGCAGAATTTTAATTTTGGTAAATACAAATTTCAAGTTTAGTGACCTTTAAAATGAGAGTGATGTTTAACCTAAATCTTATTAAATGAAGAATTTCATTTCACGAGTAGAATTTTCCAACTGAAATGGACTTGGCTTTTAAATTGGACCCCAAGCAAAGTTGGTTAGGGTAGAAGCGCTTCAGACGACAAAGAATTGGGTCGATAAAAACAGGGTCAAAGAAAATTTATTTGATTTATGGTTTCGGATTGTACAATCTTTAATCAAAATGTTTTTTTGCGTTCTATAATTTACGATTTATTCCAAGGAATGGAGTCAATAATTCCCTAGGAGCCGCGGTGCCTTTGATGAGATTTTGGCCTGCGACCTTGGTGCTGCTAATCTTTTTTCCACTCATTTCGTCATTGACTGAGAATTCTTACTAATATTATGCTGTATTCAAGTTGCATTTTAGCAATTGCTAGTAATAATGAAATCAATAATAATTCTGAGATTTCATTTGTCATTCTGTACTAAACATTGCTAGGTAATTGTGCAATAACTTCTAAGATGCATCTAAGATGCAAATCTAAAATTTTCGAAATACATTATAAATATTAAGAAATAGTTTGTAAGTATTTGTGCTTAACTTCGGTCTTATTCAAGAATTTGTTAGCATAATCGAGGAGAATTGGCATTAATATCTCTGCGGATGAAGAACATGCGAAGATTGACCTGTCTAACACGATCAAATTAGTTTTCTGAAAAATTGGTTTTTAATTCTCTGCAACATTCCTGTCTGAACAATTCATCCAAAAAATATGTAAAAATTAACTAATATATTTTGGCTAACGAAAAGCAGAAATATATAGTTTTACGTATCTCACAATAATTTTTTTCCAGTACCTAATCAACAAATTATTAAATCGACCCTGTAAAAAATAGGTAACTTCAAAAACAAGGAGCTAGTCAATATAAAAAAAATCAAATTATGTAAAACTAATGTTTCGTTAAAGAAATACTTCATTTATGAGCGAGATCGTAACTTATTGAATGACAATTTGTACCTTACTTTTAATGCAATTAAATAGTGCAAGGGCGTGGTCTTCATAGTCAGATGACAGAGTGGACACTGGAGGCTGATGTGATTGGAAGGTTTCCTGTGCACAGCGAGTTAAGGCCATCTGCGCGAGTTTCAAATTACCCACTTAAGTGCCTCCGTCCACCACCTCCTCCACATAGGGCCTTTGGCCGCGTGCTCATTCGAAAAGCTAATATATCGCTAATAATTTAATTTGACGGTTTCAAAATGACAAGCCTGTAAGCTTTTGTGCCAATTCAATGCGATTTCAACTTAATTAATATTATTTTTAAAATTATCGTAATATTTTAACATTTATTTTCAAGGTGTACTTGATATTTAATCTCCAATAAATGTGCTTTTTGGAGAAAAATTTGTTTTAAATACTTCTGATAAGTTTGTTTTCTTGTCGTCTGATGAAAAATCAAAACATGTCAGTTTCTTCAATTTTGACTTCCATGAACTTATTGTAAAATTTAATCAAATGAGAGCTGGGGTATTAAGGAAATCTGGTCAATACTAGAGATTTGATAGAGGCACACAATGTGTTGCAGTATATCTCGCCTTTGCATCAACAAATTTATATTTTATTGTCGCTTTTAAACATTTGGCAGATAATTTAAATTGAGCAGAATTTATGGTTCCACAGTGACCCGTAGGTAGAGAACAATGAAAATTCAACGCCCCATGTCACTTTTGTCGATCTTTGACTCATCAGAGAGGGGATTAGTTTGTTCAATTGCAGCTATTTCTTTTCTAATAATAAATAATTGGTTTTAATTATTTTTAGTATATGCCATTCATCAAAATAAGCATATTAATTTTTTAATATTTTGATTTGTTTTTGTGACATATAATAAGGCGATTTCATTTTATATGTAAATTTTAATTTTTGGCTTTTCATTCATGAAAAAATGAAATCGCAGAAAATGTGTTTCATGAGATTTGAATTAATATTTTTTAGCCTTTTTTAGATTGAATATGTCTTGAAGAAAAATTTATTTATATTTATATCAAATGGCAGGCGTTTCGGTAGTTATCATTAGCCCCTTAGTTGACTACAGGCTTCATAGAGGGGAAGAAACATCAAAGTGAAAAAAGTCGAGTGGGGGGGGGACAGAAGGGTGTTTCAAAGACGAAGGTAGAAAAGGTTGAAAAAAGGTGAGGTAAGTACTGTGGAAGTAAGTCGAATATGACATTCAGTGCGGTGATGATAGTTTGAAGACAGAAGTCAACTGCCGATTAATAGAATTTCTTGCCGTATGAGAATACTTTGCCCAGGGTGCACCACGTGGAGGTAGGTCTAAAGCACACACCAACTTGAAGAACTATAAATTTGTACTATTTCTGCTTGTCAATTAAGGAATATGCTCAACTGCACCAAGTGTATGCAGCCAATAGGGATTGTTGAGCCAGTTGTGGCCCTCAACAAGCGGTGGCATCCGGGCTGTTTCGTGTGCGAGGGCTGCAACTGCAATTTGGTCGACAAATCCTTCTCCTCCAACATGAATTCACCTTTCTGCGAAAATTGTTTCAACAAGGCTTTTCGCCCCAACTGTGAGGTAACCCTTTACACTCGCGCAAATTTACATTTCTCTTAATTTGTTCTTTCGAATTTACTTGGAAAATTGTGTAGAGATAGTAGTTTATAATTGAGTAATTAATGAAAATAAGCAAAATCGATTAAATATATTGATTATTTTATTTAAAAAGGCTTAACAAATCCGTCTATATTTGATCTCCAAGACCCATTAATGAATAGAATAAACCGTTTTTTGTTGACATTTTAACAAATGCGAGTTTTTTCAGAAGTCAACGAACAAACATGATCTTAAAACATTGTATGTTTCTTAAATACTATTGCACATTTGATGTGGAATTTTAAAGTGTTTCATCTAAATTTCAATTCTGCAACCGTGCTTTGGCTAATAAGGTGAGATAATAGTTACCGTTTTCATTAATTTTCCGGCAATTTTGTTTTACTCAAATTTTTCTAAATATATTACGAGTTCAATCACAAACCAACGGAAAATATTTATTCTGTATAAATTTATATCATCTCTATCAAAAGTGCAGCACTTAATTGTGACATATAAATGAATTCTGCGCATACGGTGACCTTGAACTTTGACACTAACAGGAAACCTATGCAATTAAGATTGATTTTTAAAAATAGATTACGAAATAAGATTCTTGTGTTTTTAAAAACCCTTAAAATGGACGAATTAAGCACCTTTTCTTATGTTTGATTTTCCTTTTTTTAGCAAAGCAGTTCCTATTTTGTTTACATATTGTGGTGTCAAGCAATTAGTAATAACAAGTGCTGACTAACATTTTATTGCATTGCGCCATTTCAAGCACAAGGAATCTAAACATATACATCGAAATATAGATTTATTAAAATTTGGGTCTTTTTTCAAAAGTATTAAATTTGCGAATATTGCAATTCCTATTCCAGTTATCGATTTTTTCATGTGAACTATCGCGTGAGCAGAGTGAATCTGAACTAATGCTGTACACATTTTCAATAGTTTTAATGCTTGATATTAATATTTATTTCTTCTTATGAGTAAACGATACTTTGAATTATAAATATATCGTTGACTTATTGACATAATAACAAAATGTGTTCTCTCGTAATAAAGTTTTAAAATTTAGAAATCCAAAGCCTTGAAGCAATATTTTGGTAAGGTAGTTGGTACTTAGCAACAAAGATTTTGAGATATTTGCTTCACATTACAAAATGTGTTACTTTTGCTGTGATTGATATCATAATCGAATGCTTTGCTCATATCGATTTGAGAATTGACGCTTGGTTGCAAATTTTGGTGTTTATTACAGTAAACCACCGTACTTTGTCATTTTGCTTTCTGTAAAAAAAATCAGAGAGACATGTCTTTGTTCCATTGAGAAAACTTTAATTATTCACTTTAACTGCAAACTCGGAGGTGGGCGCAAATAGTCATTGGTTGGGAAAGGTGGAGGAATATTGGAAGGTATCTTGGCCTTGAGTGGAGGGAGAGAGAGAGGTAAGCAACTTTGTGCAAAATATGTGTGGATCTTACTGACATCGATCGATTGAAGGCAACATCAATACGCACCGCATATCTCTCTCTTGTAAATGGCGGTAACTTCACCATCTGGAGATGACTTTCAATTATGATAAATAGGCTGATGATTCTTGTGCATTTAAACACACGCCATCCTCTTTCCCACATACACACATTTCTCTCCACACGCATAGGAGAAAATTTCGTTCCTCTCGAATGAGGTTAGTTTTTATTCCAATTTTATTTTCCATTAAGGTCAAATTTTATTTAAGGTGTATATAAAAATACGTTACACTTCCAACTATCCTTTTGACATTTAAGACGTAAAAATATTAGAGTTGTGTGGTAAATTGTTTAAAATTTTGGGCTTTTTGAACAAAATTTTGTTTAATTTAAAAATATCAAAATGAATATATGAAATAAAAAAATATTTAAACAATTTACTTTAGATTTTATCGATAACTAAATATAATTTAAGTTATTTATCTCAATTTTCAGTTTTTACTTGTTTTGACTTTTCTTTCTATCAGTAATAACATTGTGGGTATAATAAAACTGCAAATTACCAAATTGTAAATTTTGAGTTGTCATTTACCATTTTTAAATTGATTACATCTACACCATCACCAAAAGATCAGTTCTTTTTTGTAATATGGGAAAAATGCCCACCTTTGTGACTGCACAAGAAATTTTAATGAAAAACAACAAATTTCTGTTTTAATATGGGGTTTAATAAAGAGTTATTGCGGATTGCTAAGCTAGTAAAGCCTGACCGACTCAGAAATCTCTATGGCAGATTCTCCAACATCTAGCTAGACTCCCAGAACAAGCTAAGCTATAGCCCAGCTATAAGGGAAAAAGACGTTTAGCACGGAATGTGTTTATTCGGTACGTATATTGATAGGGAAGTGTAATGTTGGCAAAGCGATTGGTTATCAAATAACTCTAGCATAATTCGTTTGAACTTTAATAGCTAAATATTTCTGAGTAGTATTCTATAGCAGGATTTCTATTTGGTCATTGATGAAGTGTCCCACAGAGTTACATAAATGTTAAAAGTAAAGAATTACATAATAAATTAAATTCATTTTTTTCAAAACTTTAGCAGAAATTGAACTCTTGACCGCAATGAGATCGAAAACTCTATGGGCTTAAATTTGGAAAACCACTTGCCTCTACATGTTGCTATAGTGTGTAATGTAATTGAAAATCAGTGGCGAATCCCAGTGGCCAAAATACTTCCGACTACGCTATGTATTTGAATCGATTTTTCATAAGCTAATATATTACAGGACTTTTATAGAAATAAGTGCAAAGATATTCACAAACAATTTCGCCTGCCTCATAGTCTCTTGCACCACTAAGGGGGAGACTTTTGAGCAGAAAGATTTCATACAAATTAAGAGACGACACTAAAGCTGCTTGTATGACCTCTCTCCTTTTAGAAGTGCTCTAAGTTCATTGGCAGTGACGAGAAGTATGCAGTTGTTGGCTCGAAGGCCTTCCATGCCAACTGCTTTGTCTGCGAAGTCTGCCAGAAATGTCTCTACGGAGGGAAATATGCCGACAGAAAGGGTCGTATCACCTGTCTCGCTCATCGCTAGACTCACAATGCCCTCCACATCTGGCGCTCTCGATACGCAAACATTCTACATTTTATCTTCTCAAACTGACCAAATTCGTGTCTCCATATGAATTAATTTATACCACTTATCTATTTTATTGGGAAACAACACTACAAAACAGTATTAAAACGGACTATTTTAATTAATAACAAGCCAACTTCAATAAAATTATAACTGGAGAAAAGGAATTATTAGTTTTTTTCGAAGAATTCCATGCATAGTTTATCTGCACAGCGTCATGCATACACCTAGTTCAACTAAGCTAAATGGATACGTAAAAGCATCATTACATCAACTTATTTTGCCTCCTTCATAGATAATCTCCGTTATCTTCTGCTTGCTCGCTCGATAATATTAATAGTGGATGCAAGGTCGCATCTTTGGTGGATCAATGAGTGTGCGATCCCAAGATCAGCCTTAAACCGTTTGCCATTCAATATCCTTAGACGCGTTGTAGAAAGGATTTAATTGGGGATTGATTGGACGTGGATCTGTGGAAAGTGTGCTTCTGGTCACAACCCAATAAATTTGTGACCAATATACACTTTCCAAGTTCCAGATCCTAAAATATTTGAGTAGAGCATAGTTAATCGTTAATTAAGCAAATCACAGTTTTTGCATAGATGATGCAAAGCACTTGTTACTTTAAAATTATAAAAAAAACCTTCAATAATTTGCCTTAACAGGGTAATAATCAAAGTCTTTATTAGTTTTAAGATGCTCTTGCAATATTTAATTTAACTAAACTATTTACAATTTCAGTTTTAACAAATTAGCTAATTTTTTGGTAGATAATGGCCACTTGGGAAGGTCAAGACTTCGATTATATACATTCTTTAATTTGTTTCAGTGCAATTTAAATCCTTTTCGAAAATTATAATAACTAAATTCTAAAGTTCCATATTTTGAAGTTAATTGAACTAAAGCGGATGTCATTTTAAAATGAATTGCACCTACTTAATGCAACTGACAGCGTTTTTTTGAGAGGAGGAGAAGATGTAGAAATGGAAATGATTCAAAGATATCCTGCTTTGACTCCCCAGGAGTTCAGATCCACGGGAGGGAGTTCTCGAATTCTAGTGGAGTCGACATCATGTATGCATTCGTCTTTAAGAACGCAGCGCTCTAATAACTTAGATGCCCATTTGTAGTTCATTTGTGCAAAAAAATGTCAGTATTATATCAATTCCTTTTTTGCGATTGTTTCAGTCCCTTGAAGGGTAAATGAGGCCCGTCTTAACTCCACAGACCGCACTGAAGGTTAGAATCATCAGAGGACACCATATAAAAGATAGGGGATATATCTCTAGAGGTACCTGTCTTTTTGAGGTCTCGTCGTTTCTGTATGCGCTCAAATTGTAATATTGGGACCAATGATGGCATATAATGAGATAAACCTGGGCAAACACCTCAGTCAATCTAAGTTGAAATTAAATTAGAAGCTTTGGAGGGGAAGGGGCGGG